GTAGCTGGTACTATAGGCATGTAGCACCTCGCCTGGCAAATTTTTAAATTTTTTTGTAGAGACAAGGTCTTGCTATGTTGCCCAGGCTGGTTGCTAACTCCTGGCCTTCAGTGATCCTCCTGCCTCAGCCTCCAAAAGTGTTGAGATTATAGGTGTCAGTCACTGTGCTCAATGCATTTTTTTTTTTTTTGAGACAAGATTTGGCTCTGTCACCCAGGCTCCAGTGCAGTGGCATGACTGCAGCTCACTACAGCTGTGACTTCCTGGGCTCCAACAATTCTTCCACTTCAACCTCCCATGTAGCTGGGACCACAGACGCATGCCACTATGCCCAACTTATTTTTTATTTTTTAAATTTTTTTTGGAGAAGGAGTCTAGCTTTGTCACCCAGGCTGGAGTGTAGTGGCGCGATCTCGGCTCACCACAACCTCCGCCTCCCAGTGTCAAACAGTTCTCCTGCCTCAGCCTCCCAAGTAGCTGGGATTACAGGTACCCACCACCACGCCTGGCTAATTTTGGTATTTTAGTAGAGATGGGGTTTCACCATGTTGGCCAGGCTGGTCTTGAATTCCTGACCTCATGATCCGCGAGCCTCGGCCTCCCGAAGTGCTGGGATTACAGGCATGAGCTACCACACCCAACATATTTCACATATACATATTGCAGGGGTAGTGACATCCCTTCATGTAGCTGAGGAGCTCTCCTTGGGATGCAGCAGACAAGGAGGAAGGACGGCCTCACAAGAAAGGCTCCATCAACTGAAATTGTGAAGAAAGCGCCATGGGAATGGGGAGTGGGGGCTGGGCTGGAAGGTGGAGGAGTTGGTGTGTGCTGTTGGACTGCTCTGCTCAAGCCAGCTCCTCCCACCTCAGCCCCCAGGCTGTTGATTTTGCCTCCCAACTCAGAGGAAATCGAAACTTAAGTGTGAGCTCTCAACTTCCTGCCCCCAAGCCCCTTCTCTCCGGTTCTGGTTCTATTGGGTGTCACTCCCTTCTCTAATCCTTGTTCCCTTTTTTTTTTTTTTTTGAGACAGTCTCGCTCTGTCGCCCAGGCTACAGTGCAGTGGCGCGATCTCAGCTCACTGCAAGCTCCGCCTCCCGGGTTCACGCCATTCTCCTGCCTCAGCCTCCCAAGTAGCTGGGACTACAGGTGCCCGCCACCTCGCCCGGCTAGTTTTTTGTACTTTTTAGTAGAGACGGGGTTTCACCGTGTTAGCCAGGATGGTCTCGATTTCCTGACCTTGTGATCCGCCCGTCTCGGCCTCCCAAAGTGCTGGGATTACAGGCTTGAGCCACCGCGCCTGGCCCTTGTTCCCTTTTGAAAGTTCATTCTGGGTGGGGCGGTGGCTCACGTCTGTAATCCCAGCACTTTGGGAGGCTGAGGAGGACGGATCACTTGAGGTCAGGAGTTCAAGACCACCCTGGCCAGCAGGGTGAAACCCCTGAGTAGCTGCGGAGGAGCTTAACCTCCTGAGTAGCTGGGACTACAGGCGCATGACGCCACGCCCGGCTACATGTGAGTGTGTGTTTGTGTGTCGTGTGTGTGTGCATAGAGACGGGGTCTTGCTGGGTCGCCCAAGCTATCTTGAACTCCTGGACTCAAGTGATCCACCTGCGTTGGCCTTCCAAAGTGCTAGGATTACAAGCGTGAGCCACTCACTCAGCCAGTACAAACACTTCTTTGCAATCCTTCAGTAGCCCTCAGCAGTCCTGTACTCACAATCTTATCAGCCCTCTGTGGCCACAACTCCAGGCCTGCTAGCACAGGTAGGATGCAGCTTCCATACCTTCCCAGGGCCTGAACTTGGTCATGCAGCCATCGTGATCTTCCCATTGTCCATACTCTCTGTCATCCTTCCCCAGGGCTTCCCCTGTCTGGAAGCACCTTGGCCATTAAACCAGCCTGGTGGCCTAGAGGACTTCCTACTGGAACTAGAATGTGATTCTCTTAGGCCCCTTCTCTCAGCTGCCCTCTCTCAAAAAGCAAGCTCTCCTTGGTTCTGCTGAAAATGTGTCGGCCGGGCGTGGTGGCTCACGCCTGTAATCCCAACACTTTGGGAGGCTGAAGCAGGTGGATCACCTGAGGTCAGGAGTTCGAGACCAGCCTGGCCAACATGGTGAAACCCCGTCTCTACTAAAAATACAAAACAAATTAGCCGGGCGTGGTGGCACACACCTGTAATCACAGCTACTCGGGAGGCTGAGGCAGAAGAATCGCTTGAACCAGGGAGGCGGAGGTTGCAGTGAGCCGAGATCGCGCCATCACACTCCAGCCTGGGGGACAGAGCGAGACCTCATCTCAAAAAAAAAAAAAAAAAGAAAAGAAAAGAAAAGAAAAAAAAAAGTGTCTCTCTGCAGTCCATTTCATTCGTAAGAACAAAACTGACAAAAACTATTTATCACTCTGAGTAGTTCTGAAAATGACCCAGGGTTTCCCTTTCTGACAATATCATTCCACTTCCTCTTTCCCGAGAAACTGATGAGAATGAAATTTCCTTGACCTTGAAACCTAAGCAATAGTTTTTCTTGGAGGCTACACTACATGGTGAATTTCTTCTTTTCAGTGTTATCAAAGTAAATGTACCTAGTGCAAGAATCCAGTAATGCAGAGAGTTTATAATGAAAAGCAACAGTCCCTGTCTTCCCGCCTCATCCTTTCACACAGCCCCCTCCTTCCACGCAGTCACAATCCAGATACAACAGCTTTGAATGCGCAGGTCCTGGTATTTATCTCTATCACTCTAAAGAGTATCGTTTCAGGAAAACTCTGCCGACGGTGTTTTTCCTCTGTTCTCACACACCACCACAATCAACACAGAAAAGGGCTTCTGTGACCAAATGTGTGCGGGTTTTTTCCCCCCACACACCAAGCAGTGAACACCAGCTGGGTGTTCTCCAATTCAATGCCAGCACTATAGACCCAGAGATAGCATCAGATCCCACAGCTCAGTCCCCAAGACTGCTGCCCCCAACTCCCCAGACATTGGTCGCAAGTCCGGGCCTCTGGAACTTGAGAGCAACCAGCTTCAAAGTTGGGGTTCTCACAACTCTCACTTTGAGATCAGTGTTTTTTTTGAGATGGAGTCTCACTCTTGTTGCCCAGGCTGGAGTGCAATGGCGCAACCTCGGCTCACCACAACCTGTCTCCCGGGTTCAAGCAATTCTCTTGCCTCTGTCTCCTGAGTAGCTGGGATTACAGGCGTGCACCACCATGCCCAGCTAATTTTTTGTATTTTTAGTAGAAAAGGGGTTTCACCATGATGGCCAAGCTGGTTTCGAATTCCTGACCTCAAGTGATCTGCCCGCCTCAGCCTCCCCAAGTGCTGAGATTACAGGCGTGAGCCACTGCACCCAGCCTTTGTTTTTATTTTGAGATGGAGTCTTGCTCTGTTGTCCAGGCTGGAATGTAGTGGTGTGATCTTGGCTCACTGCAACCTCCGCTTCCTGGCTTTAAGCAATTCTCCTGCCTCAGCCTCCCGAGTAACTGGGACTACAGGTGCAAGTCACCACACTCGGCTAATTTTTTTATTTTTAGTAGAGACGGGGTTTTGCCATGTTGGCCAGGCTGGTCTTGAACTCCTGACCTGAAGTGATCTGCCTGCCTCAGCCTCTCAAAGTGCCGGGATTACAGGCATGAGCCACTGCACCCGGCCATGTTATGCAGTTTTATTGGAGGTTTGATGGTAACAAAAGGTGACACCACAGCATAACCTAGGTAGCAATTTAAAGCTGGACATGAGGCATTACTGTCCTAGAAATGCCTTGGTTATTTGCCACTGCGGGAGCTTCCTAACCAGGCTCTGACTTGCCGCTCTCTTCTTGACCTCTCTCTCTGCTGCTAACCTTTTCTAAGATTTTTCCCCTCTCTGGTCTGTCAGCTTCCAGCCCCCAAATGCCTGTTAACTCTCTCATGCAGATCAACTCAATTTGCCCTATCTCTTCAGCTTCACCCTTCTGACCATATCTCACTCAAAGAGACCCATCCAGCTATTTTTCTAACCCTCACCTCAAACAAGAGCTCTTAAAATTTCTCTCCCCTGCTATGCATTAAATCTGACTTGTCCTTGTGATTAAAAACAACTGTTTGAGACCAGCCTGGACAACATGGTGAAACCCCGCCTCTACTAAAAATATAAAAACTAGCCAGGCGTGGTGGCGCACACCTTTAATCCCAGCTACTCAGGAGGCTGAGGCAGGAGAATTGCTTGGGAGGTGGAGGTTGCAGTGAGCTGAGATTGCGCCACCGCACTCCACCCTGGGCAACACAGCAAGACTGCTTCTCAAAAAACAAACAAACAAAAAAACAAAAAAAACCCTGCCGTCAATTATTGCTTTAAATGGCACCTTCCCCCTCCTGCTGCATGTCTGAAAGAGCAGTGATGATGTCTACCATTTCTAGAGGGCCCAGTAGGTACATGCTTGATCTCCAGTCCTCACAAACTGCATTGAAGTAGGAGGTATCATCCCCATATTACAGATGAGGCTCACAGAAGGTCGAGTGACATGCCTGAGGTCCCCCAGGTGTTAATCAGTAGGGTATGGCTGTGAACCAGCACCTGATTCCTAAGCAGATGTCTGCATCTCTACACAACACAGTAGATTAGCTGGGCGCCGTGGCTCATGCCTGTAATCCCAGCACTTTGAGAGGCCAAGTCGGGTGGATCACCTGAGGTCAGGAGTTCGAGACCAGCCAGGCCAACATGGTGAAACCCTGTCTCTACTAAAAATACAAAAATTAGCTGGGCGTGGTGGCAGGTGCCTGTAGTCCCAGTTACCCTGGAGGCTGAGGCAGGAGAATCACTTGAACCCGGGAGGTGGAGGTTGTAATGATCTGAGAGCTGAGATCATGTCATTGCACTCCAGCCTGGGTGACAGAGTAAGACTCCGACTCAAAAAAAAAAAAAAAACAAAAACAAAAACACAGTAGATAACTGCCCTACCCCACCCCACCCCAGGATATCTTTCATTCATGCCTCATTCTTGTCTCTCCATTCTTCTCAGGATTCCACTGCAATGAGTTGGTGGAGGAACAATTTTTGGATCATCTTAGCTGTGACCATCATCGTTGTCTCTGTGGGCCTGGGCCTCATCCTGTATTGTGTCTGTAAGTGGCAGCTTCGACAAGGTAATGGCCATCTTACCTGGGCAGGTGGAGGGAGGAGCCAGGTGGTTATCAGTGCAGTAGCGCACTGATCCTTTAGGGCAAGCAGTCAATCCTGGGCTTGAATGAGCTGAATTTTCATTAAGCATCTTGCATTCTGGGTTTGAGTCCTAGCCCTGCCACTACATTATGTCTCTAGGCCTCAGTTTCCTCATCCGCGTAGTGAAAGAAGGGATGTCAACTAATCTCCAAGAGCCCTTCCAGCCCTAATCATCCGGTGAAAGCAGAATCTGTTTTAAGGCACAGTATGCTCAAGGGCTTTTTCTTTCCTGTGTGGCTACTGATCACAGCATCTTGAGAGAACACAAGTATATGGAATATTAAGAACTGTCGGCCAGGCCGGGCGCGGTGGCTCAAGCCTGTAATCCCAGCACTTTGGGAGGCCGAGACGGGTGGATCACGAGGTCAGGAGATCGAGACCATCCTGGCGAACACGGTGAAACCCCGTCTCTACTAAAAAATACAAAAAACTAGCCGGGTGAGATGGCGGGCGCCTGTAGTCCCAGTTACTTGGGAGGCTGAGGCAGGAGAATGGCATAAACCCGGGAGGCGGAGCTTGCAGTGAGCTGAGATCCAGCCACTGCACTCCAGCCCGGGTGACAGAGCGAGACTCCGCCTCAAAAAAAAAAAAAAAAAAAAAAAAAAAAAAAGAACTGTCGGCCAGGCGCAGCAGCTCACGCCTGTAATCTCAGCACTTTGGGAGGCCGAGGCAGGCAGATCATGAGGTCAGGAGATCGAGATCATCCTGGCTAACACAGTGAAACCCCGTCTCTACTAAAAAAATACAAAAACATTAGCCAGGCGCGGTGGCGGGCGCCTGTAGTCCCACCTACTGAGGAGGCTGAGGCAGGAGAATGGCGTGAACCTGGGTGGCGGAGCTTGCAGTGAGCCGAGATCGCGCCACTGCACTCCGGCCTGGGAAACAAGAGTGAGACTGTCTCAAAAAAAAAAAAAAAAAAAAAAAGAACTTTCTTGAGTAATAAAATATGGACTCAACCCACAGCCAACATGTTTGGCCACTATGATTGCCTTCTCTGAGACCATACTCTGAATCTTCTGGTATTACCTAGACCAGAAACCTCTTGGTACCCTCAGACATAAATAAGTGGTCTGGGGATTAACACTAACTTTAGATTATCTGTAAGTAGGGTTTCCACTTTCCTGTTCATCGCCAGAAACATGAAAGCCTTGATTCAATGGTGTGTTATCTTGACATCTCATCCCTTTAAATAACAACCTGGCCGGGCACAGTGGCTCATGCCTGTAATCCCAGCATTTTGGGAGGCCAAGGTAGGCGGCTCACTTGAGGTCAGGAGTTCGAGACCAGCCTGCCAACGTTGCAAAACCCTGTTTCCACTGAAAATGCAAAAATTAGCCGGGCGTGATGGTGGGTGCCTGTAATCCCAGCTACTCAGGAGGCTGAGGTGGGAGAATCACTTGAACACGGGAGGCAGAGGTTGCAGTGAGCCGACATGGTGTTACTGCACTCCAGCCCGGGCGACAGAGCGAGAGTCCATCTCAAAATAATAATAACAACAACAACAACAACAACAACAACAATGACCTAAGCAGGGAGTACACCTAACAAGAACAACAATGACCTAAGCAGGGAGTACACCTAGGGATGGTAAGCACACGGAGAGGTACAGCCACCTTCCCTGGGGCACCCTGGACTGGCATCCCTCAATGATGAAGCCACTATCCACCCACTGTATCTGGTCACAGCCTCCAGATTCCTGCTCAGCCCAGCTCAGTGCTGGCAGGTCACAGACAGACAAGAAGTGAAATCTTTCTGTCATTCTTCTCAATCTCTCTTTAGAGATAAGAAAATTAAGGTTCAAAGGAAGATGAGAGCTTCACTGAGGTGCCATAAGAACTGGTGGCAGAGTTGGGACCAGAACTCAGGCCTGCTGGGCTTCCAGTTCAATGTTCTTTCTTCTCTATTGTAATTAATTTTTTAATTAAAAAAGTGTATTCTGGGACCCTACAGTCCTCTGTCCTTTGCCCTTTTTTTTTTTTTTTTCAGATGGAGTCTCTGTCATCCAGGATGCAGTGCAGTGGTGTGATCTGGGCTCACTGCAACCTCCACCTCCCAGGTTCAGGTGATTCTCCTGCCTCATTCTCCTCAGCAGGTGGGATTACAGGCGTATGCCATCATGCCTGGATAATTTTTGAATTTTTAGTAGACACGGGGTTTCACCACGTTGGCCAGCTTGGTCCTGAACTCCCGACCTCAAGTGATCCTCCAGCCTTGGCATCCCAAAGTGCTGGGATTACAGATGTGAGCCACCGTGCCTGGCCTCCTTTTGCCTTCTAAAAAGTTTTCATTCCCACCAGGTGCAGTGGCTCACACCTGTAATCCCAGCACTTTGGGAGGCCGAGGCGGGTGGATCACTTGAGGTCGGGAGTTCGAGACCAGCCTGGCCAACATGGTGAAACCCCCTGCCCCGTCTCTGCTAAAATTACAAAAATTAGCCAGGTGTGGTGATGGGCGCCTGTAATCTCAGCTACTCTGGAGGCTGAGGCAGGAGAATGGCTTGAACCCGGGGAGCAGAGGTTGCAGTGAGCCCAGATTGCGCCACTACACTCCAGCCTGGGCAACAAGAGCAAGACTCTGTCTGCGGGAAAAAAAAAAGTTTCCATTCTCAAATATGGATGACCCTGAACTAAAAATTCTCAAATATGAATGACCCTGAACTAAAACTTTACCTCCTTTCTTTTTATCCTCAACCACTCCTATTAACAAGCAGGTTTTAATTTACGACAACTTATATGTCCAGCACATTACAGGATACAAACTGCTTTTCCGAGGCTTTATCTGATTTCCTCCCAACCACACTTTTGATTATTCATTCGACCAACATTTCTAAGTGCCACCTAAGTGCCAGGCATAGAGGAAATAAACACCACCCACACTGTGCCCGCCCTCACTGGGTTAGTGCAGAGGCTCTGTGGTCAGACAGTCTGGATTCAAAGTCCAGTTCTATCATTTATTAACTCGGTGTCCCTAAGTGTGTTTTTTCTGGGTTCAATTCGAAAATCACAACTTTTGCTAATTCTTCTTCAATGAACATGCTTTTCCTTCTCTTAGGCAAGAAATGGGAAATTGCCAAGCCCTTGAAAAACAAGCAAGCAGATGAAGAAAAAATGTATGAGTAAGTGGGGAGGAATCCTTCTGCTTTTTACTGTTGAGAACTGCCTGTTCACTTCCACTCTTGCCCCTCCACTCTGTACCAGTATGACTGAGGCATCTGCATTTCCTGTAGAGCTGGTGAGATGTCACACCTGCCAAATCTCTCCACATAAGGGCAGAGACTCAGGACACTGTTAATGCTGGGCAAGTCCTCCCTCCTCTTGTCTCTGTTCTTTTTTTTTTTTTTTTTTTTGAGACAGAGTCTTGCTCTATTGCCCAGGCTGGAGTGCACTGGTGCCATCTCGGCTCACTGCAGCCTCCACCTCCTGGGTTCAAGCAATTCTCCTGCCTCAGCCTCCCAAGTAGCTGGGACTATAGGTGCCCGCCACCACGACTGTCTAATTTTTTGTATTTTTAGTAGAGATGGGGTTTCGCCATGTTGTCCAGGCTGGTCTCGAACTCCTAACCTCGTGATCCACCCATCTCATCCTCCCAAAGTGCTGGGATTACAGGCGTGAGCCACCGCGCCTGGCTGGAGACACTCTTATCAGGGAGGCTATTCCAAGGGTTTAGATATTATTTCCCAGGAGCCAGTCAAGAGCCAGTCCTTTCTTTGGAATATATACACTATCTAAAACAAAACTTACTCTTGGGGCGAGGTGCAGTGGCTCATGCCTGTAATGTCAGCACTTTGGGAGGCCAAGGTGGGAGTATCACTTGAGGCCAGAAGTTCAAGACCAGCCTGGACAACATAGTGAGACACCGTATACAAAACATTGTTAAACCTATGCTTTTCTAAAATGCCTTTGACTGTAGCTTCAGGGATCCAGCAAATAAGACTCCCCCTGCCTCCATCAATTCTGATCCCCTTCAGGAATAAGACAGGTGACTAAAATACTGCCTTTTAAAAGAATACAACTGGGGCCAGGTGTGGCAGCTCACACCTGTAATCCCAGATCTGGGAGGCCGAGGCGGGCGGATCACCTGAGGTCGGGAGTTTGAGACCAGCCTGACCAACATGGTGAAACCCCGTCTCTACCAAAAATACAGAAATTAGCCGGGCATGGTGGCGGGTGCCTGTAATCCCAGCTACTTGGGAGGCTGAGGCAGGAGAATCGCGTGAACCTAGGAGGTGGAGGTTGCAGTGAGCCAAGATTGTGCCACTGCACTCCAGCCTGGGTGGTAAGTGAAACTCAAGTCTCAAAAAAAAAAAAAAAAAAAAAAAGGCCGGGCGCAGTGGCTCAAGCCTGTAATCCCAGCACTTTGGGAGGCCAAGATGGGTGGATCACGAGGTCAGGAGATCGAGACCATCCTGGCTAACACAGTGAAACCCCGTCTCTACTAAAAAATACACACACAAAAAAACCTAGCAGGGCGAGGTGGTGGGCGCCTGTAGTCCCAGCTACTTGGGAGGCTGAGACAGGAGAATGGCATAAATCCGGGAGGCGGAGCTTGCAGTGACAGTGAGCTGAGATCTGGCCACTGCACTTCAGCCTGGGCCACAGAGGGAGACTCCATCTCAAAAAAAAAAAAAAAAAAAAGCAAAAAAATAAAACTGGTATTGGCCTGGGGCAGTGGTTCATGCCTATAATCCCAGCACTTTGGGAGGCCCAAGGGGGAGGATGGCTTGAGGCCAGGAGTTTGAGACCAGCCTGGCCAACATAGTGGGACCCCATATCTGAAAAAAATACCGAAATTAGCCAGGTGTGGTGGCGTCTGCTTGTAGTCCCAGCTACTTGGGAGGCTGAGGTGGGAGGATTGCTTGAACCCATGAGGTCGGGGCAGCACTGAGCTGTGATGGTGCCACTGCACTCCAGCCTGGGTGTCAGAGTGTGATCCTGTCTCAAAAAAAAAAAAAAAAAACAGGCCAGGCGCGGTGGCTCAAGTCTGTAATCCCAGCACTTTGGGAGGCCAAGATGGGCAGATCATGAGGTCAGGAGATCAAGACCATCCTGGCTACCACGGTGAAACCCCGTCTCTACTAAAAAATACAAAAAACTAGCCAGGCATGGTGGCGGGCGCCTGTAGTCCCAGTTACTCGGGAGGCTGAGGCAGAATGGAGTGAACCCGGGAGGCGGAGCTTGCAGTGAGCCAAGATCGCGCCACTGCACTCCAGCCTGGGCGACAGAGCGAGACTCCGTCTCAAAAAAAAAAAAAAAACCACAAGCAAACAAAAAAGAATAAAACTGGGATTGCAGAATGTGGCTCTTTTCTGTGAGCTAGTGAGTTTCCTAATTTGGAACTGGGTGACTTTCCCGCCCAGTTCACAGGCAGCTCCAGAGAACCTCAGGTCTCCCCCACCGAGCAGACCCCTTTCTGTGAATGGCAAAGACCAGAGCAGGATTTGTGATTTCTGCAGTCAGGCCAGCTCTGGCGGAGAAAATGAGGGGAGCTAGACTTTTCCCAAATTTAGCAGTCAGATGAGTTGCTTTCTTCCCTTAAGAAGAGCTACAGAGGGGTGGAGAGAGCTGTCAATGGAGCTCTACCCCCATGTCCCATCTGCACTCAACCCAACAACCTAAAAATGTTTCTTCATTCCCAGGGGGACTTTATAGCATACAGGAGTCAAATCAGTGTACCTAGGGGGATGGAGGCCCAAATAAGGAAGCTTTCTTAAGAGTTTCTCTTTTAGTTAAAGCTTTTTACCAAAGTATAATATAAATACAGAAAAATGGAAATACTAAGTGTACAACCTGATGAATTTCCACGAACTGAACAGACCCAGGTAACTGGCACCCAGATCAAGAAATAATTACCGGCACTTCAGAGGCTTACCTTATACAGCCTTTCAGCTGTTACATCCCAAAGGTAATCACTGTCTGTGACAGTATAAATTAGCTTTTTGGGTTTTTTTGTTTGTTGTTTGTTTGTTTGCTTGTTTTTGAGATAGAGTCTCGCTCTGTTGCCAGGCTGGAGTGCAGTGGTGCGATCTTGGCTCTCTGCAACCTCCGCCTCCCGGGTTCAAGCGATTCTTCTGCCTCAGCCTCCTGAGTAGCTGGGACTATAGGTGCACACCACCATACCTGGCTAATTTTTGTATTTTTAGTAGAGACTGGGTTTCATCATGTTGGCCAGGCTGGTCTCAATCTCCTGACCTCATGATCTGCCCGCCTTGGCCTCCCAAAGTGCTGGGATTACAGGTGTGAGCCACTGCGCCCAGCAGCTTTTTGGTTTTTATGCAATTTATTAATGGCATCATACAGTATATATTATTTGGTGTTTGGCTTTTTTGCTTACATCATTTTTATGAGATTCATTGTGTGTGGTTGTAGATTATTCATTCTTGTTGCTATAGAACATTCCACCGTGGGAGTACACCACTATTTATTTATTTTTTATGTTGAGACAGGGTCTCACGCTCAACCAGGTTGGAGTACAGTGGTGCAATCATAGCTCACTGTAACCTCAGATTTTGGGCTTAAGTGATCCTCCTGCTTCAGTCTCCTGAGTAGCCGGGACTACAGGTGTATGCCACCATAACCAGCTAATTATTTTGATTCTTTTGTAGAGACAGGGTCTCCCTGTGTTGCTTAGGGTCTCCCTATATTACCCTTAAACTCCTGGGCTCAAGCTGTCCTCCCTCTTTCACCTCCCAAAGTGCTGGTATTACAGATGTTAACCACCTTGCCCAGTCGCTATACTATAATTAATCTATCTATTCTACTGCTGATGGGCATTTGGGTTGTGTGATGGCAAATTTTATGTGTCTCTGCTTCTCTGGACAACCCAGACTAACACAGGTAGTGTCCAATTTGGAGCTGTTATGAATAGTGTTGCTCTGAACATTCTAATGCATGTTTTGGTGAATATATGTGAGCATTTTGATAGGCTGTAGACCCAGTAGTGGAAATGCAGTCTCAAGGTGTGTGTACATTCTGCTTTAGGAGTTCATCTGCTTTTGTTTTTTGGGTTTTTTTGTTTGTTTTGAGACAGAGTCTCGCTCTGTTGCCTAGGCTAGAGTGCAGTAGCATGATCTTGGCTCAATGCAACCTCCGCCTCCCGGGTTCAAGCGATTCCCCTGCCTTAGCCTCCCAAGTAGCTGGGATTACAGGTGAGCATCATCATGTCCGGCTAATTTTTGTATTTTTAGTAGAGACGGGTTTTCACCATGTTGGCCAGGCTGGTCTTGAACTCCTGACCTCAGGTGATCCGCCCACCTCGGCCTTCCAAAATGCTAGGATTACAGGCATGAGCCACCATGCCTAGCTCATCTGTTTTGCAAATAGAAATACATCTGGTGCCTACCGCTCCTAAATCAGCTCAGGTGAACCAGGAAGATATGCTCCATGCTCTGAATTGTAGCACTTTTATTTCCTTCCCCTCAGTTTCAGCCATTTCCTGGGCTAGAGGAAACAGTTTCATTAGGGTGCCAATTACAAATGGGATCCAGGACCTACAAAGGAAAGGAAATGCTTCCGATTTGTAAAGACCAAGATTTGAATGTTCAACCCATTCACTTTCCTTGATGTTTTCTCTTAAATCTGCTGGGAACAGGCATGGCCCAAATCAAACACTGATTCTCTCTTTCTGTCTCTCTAGGAATGTTCTTAATGAGTCGCCAGTTCAATTACCACCTCTGCCACCAAGGAATTGGCCTTCTCTAGAAGACTTCTGTAAGTATATTTTACTGGTAGCAGTTTCATTTAGGGTAGGATAACAAGTTTATCAAGGTGTCTTTTTTCTTTTTTTTTTTTTTGAGATGGAGTCTCACTCTGTCACCCAGGCTGCAGTGCAATGGCGCGATCTCGGCTCACTAGCTCACTGCAAGCTCCGCCTCCCAGGTTCACACCATTCTCCTGCCTCAGCCTCCCAAGTAGCTGGGACTACAGGCACCTGCCACCACGCCCAGCTAATTTTTTTTTTTTTTTTTTAGTATTTTTAGTAGAGACGGGGTTTCACTGTGGTCTCGATCTCCTGACCTCGTGGTCCACCCACCTCGGCCTCCCAAAGTGCTGAGATTACAGGCGTGAGCCACGGCGCCTGGCCCCTATCAAGGTGTCTTAGATAGCTCAGGCTGCTGTAACAAAAATACCATAGACTGGGGTGCTTACCCAACAGAAATTTGTTTTCTCGTTGTTCTGAGACTGGAAGCCCGAGATGAGGGTGCTGGCCAATTTCTGTGAAGTTTCTGGTGAGGGCCCTCCTCCTGGCTTGCAGACAGGTGCCTTCTTGCTATGTCCCCACAAATGGCCTTTCCTTGGTGCATTCAAGCTGGGGAAGAGCGTCGGGGAACCAGATTTCTGGTGTTTCTTCTTACAAGGACACTGATCCTGTTGGATCAAGGCCTCATCCCTATGGCCACATATAGCCTCACTGGGGGTTAAGGCTTGAACACGTGAATTTTGGGGGGACACAAACATTCAGTCTGTAGCACTAGGATTTATAGATTTAGCATCCTGATTATTTTACTTTTGAGGCAGAGTCTTGCTCTCTCACCCAGGCTGGAGTGCAGTGGCGTGATTTCGGCTCACTGCAATCTCCACCTCCTAGGTTCAAGCTGTTTTCCTGCCTTGGCCTCCTGAGTAACTGGGATTATCAGCGCACAGCACCACACTCAGCTAATTTTTTGTATGTTTAGTAGAGATGGGGTTTCACCATATTGGCCAGGCTGGTCTTGAACTCCTGACCTTAAGTGATCTGACTGCCTCGACCTCCCAAAGTGCTGGGATTACAGGCATGAGCCACCACACCCAACCAGCATCCTGTTTAAAAGAGACAGCCAGAGGCCAGGCACAGTGGCATATGCTTGTAATTCCAACACTTTGGGAGGCCAGGGTGGGCAGTCGACTTGAGCTCAGGAGTCTGAGAGCAGCCTGGGCAACATGGCAAAATCCTATCTTTACAAAAATTAGCCAGTGTGATGGTGCACACCTATAGTCCCAGCTACTTGGAAGGCTGGGGTTGGGGGATCGCTTGAGCCTAGAAGGTCTGTAGTGAGCTATGATAGCAAATCACTGCACACCAGCCTGGATGACAGAGTGAGACCCTGTCTCAAAAAAAAAAAAAGAAAAAGAAAAAGAAAAAAGGGGGCAGAATAAGTACCAACGCCCCCAATATCCTGATATAAATGTGTAAATTCATGTTCAAATTCCAGCTTGGAACATAAACGGAAAGAAACATGGGGTGTCACTAGGCCTCTCACTTCCTATCAGAAAAACTCTGCCTGGTTCCTTTCACTGGAATGTTCTTCCTTAAGCTCTTTGCATAGCTGGATTTTCCTCATCCTTCAGATGTCAGCTCAAAAGTCACCACCTCAAAAAGGCCCTCTCTGACCACTCAACCTAAAGTAGTCCTGCTAATTTCCTTTATGAAACTGACAGTTATCCAAAATTGTGTTATTTACTTGTTGTTCATTTGTGTATTTTTGATCTTCTCCACTGGAGTATAAACTTCAGGAAAACAGGAACCTTTCTTGTCCACCACTATTCATATTTATCCACTACCTAGAGCAGGGCGTGAGGCTTAGTTGATACTTAAGAAAAATATTTTGATTGGCTAGATAAACAATATTAGCTACCATTTACTGAGCATGCGCTGTGTTTTAGGTCCCACACTAAGCACTTTAAAGGTATTAGCTCATTCAGTCCTCACAACAACTCTACAAGCCAGGTACTTTTTTTTTTGAGACGGAGTCTTGCTCTGTCACTCAGGCTGGAGTGCAGTGGTGTGATCTTGGTTCACTGCAAGCTTCGCCTCCCACATTCACGCCATTCTCCTGCCTCAGCCTCCTGAGTAGTTGGGACTATAGGCGCCCGCCACCACACCCGGCTAATTTTTTTTGTATCTTTAGTAGAGACGGGGTTTCACTGTATTAGCCAGGATGGTCTTGAACTCCTGACCTGGTGATCCGCCCACCTCGGCCTCCCAAAGTGCTGGGATTACAGGCGTGAGCCACCGTGCCTGGCCCAAGTCAGGTACATTTTTATTCCCCTTTGACAGATGAGGATGCTGAGGCACAGATAAGTGGTTTACCTATAGTAACACAGCTAATGACTGCTGGAACCTGAACATGAACTCAGGTCTGTCAAACTGCAGAGTTCTGCAAATAGTGGCATTTCAGGTTTTCTTAGGAAAAGATGAGATTGTGGGAGAGGCAGTTCCTATCCCCATCAAAGATGGAGCTGAGCTGTTTCAAGCTGTTTCATCATCCTTCTATTACTTATGGACCTGTTCTTTTTGTTTTTTTGTTTTTCTTTTCTTTTCTTTTCTTTTTTTTGAGACATAGCCTCATTCTGTTGCCCAGGCTAGAGTGCAGTGATGCTATAATGGCTCACTGCAACCTCTACCACCTGGGTTCAAGCAATTCTCCTGTCTCAGCCTCCTGAGATGCTGGGATTACAGGCACCCACCATCACACCCAGCTAATCTTTGTATTTTTGTAGATTCGGGGTTTCACCATGTTGGCCAGGCTGGTCTTGAACTCCTGACCTCAGGTGATCCGCCCACTTCAGCATCCCAAAGTGCTGGGATTACAGGCGTGAGCCACCACCTCTGGCCTCCTATGGACCTGTTCTGTACTAATTCCACCTTTTGAAAATAATGCCATCCCCTTTCTTCTTAGCAGAGAGATTTGTACATAAGCAATTACGGAGAGTCCTGGAAAACAGTGTAAGTCACTGGAAGGGATGTGCCAAAAAGGAAATATGATTTATTTCACTTCCTTGTGAAAATTAGGATCTGTAACACAACAGCACTCATGACTACTGGGCTCTGGTCTGTTTCTTTTCATCCATCCTTTTTTTTTTTTTTTTTTTTTTTGAGACAGGGTCTTACTACGTTGTCCAGACTGAAGTGCAGTGGTGTGATCATGGCTCATTGTAGCCTCAACCTCCTGGGCTCAGGAGATCCTCTTGCCTCAGCCTCCCAAGTAGCTGGGACTATAAGCATGCACCACCACATCCAGCTAATTTTTAAATTTTTCTGTAGAGACGAGGTCTCCCTGTGTTGCCCAAGCTGGTCTGGAACTCTTGGGCTCAAGTGATCCTCCCACCTCGGCCTCCCAGAGTACTGGGATTACAGGTGTGAGCTCCTGCACCTGACCTGGTCTGTTTCTTTTCTAAGCTTTTGCTTCATGGTTTCCATGCAGGGCAGTCTTAGGCAAAGATACAGGAGTCAAGATGTCTGACTAATATTTTCCATTTACTCACTTGGGTGATCCGGAGACTGTGTCAGGTCTGCATCTGAATTTCCTCTGTAAAATGGGGATCTGGCCCACTAGAAGTGGGAAGATCACTGAAACATGAAAATCACACTGAGCCACTGCGTCAAAAATATAAAAACACATGATAGCTTTGCATCTAAGGATCTTTTTGTGTATTCTAGCCCCACAGGAAACCCCAAGTCAGCCGCCACCTACATACTCATTGGTAAATAAAGTTAAAAATAAGAAGACTGTTTCCATCCCAAGCTACATTGAACCTGAAGATGACTATGACGATGTTGAAATCCCTGCAAATACTGAAAAGCATCATTTTGAAACAGCCATTTCTTCTTTTTGACAAAACTGAAGAGGGTTCACACGACTTATTTTAAAACAATGAAGAATGGTTAACTTCAGTAGGTCTCTGGGCCCTGAAAGCCAGTGGTGATTTTATGAAGCTCTATAAGATAAAGCACTTGCCAAACCTTAGATGAAGGCACCCCGGCAATCAGATGACTGCAGCCAGAGGAGAGACATGGGTGCTCGGCTCTGAGGACTTAGAGGGGTCAGCCTTGCGTTGTTGAGGGAAGTTTCCACGGGAAGGACCATGGGGCTCCATGGCTCCCACCTGTGAGAAACTACTCATTTCTTGGCACTCTTTCCCCCTTCATTCCCTTTGGTTTGCATGGTTCTGAGTGATCTGAAATCTCTGCATTTGGTGTTGCAGACCCTCCCAGGCTCCCATCCCCAGCAAGGCCCTCACCAAGCATGCTGGTCTTTACCCTCTCACCCCACCCACCTCCTGCAATGTGAGGCCGTGGGTGAGTTACAGCTGAGTGCTCTTGTGCCCAGGCTCCCATACCACATCTCGCAAGTTTGCAAGGGCAGGGAGTACCTTTTGTTCTTGTGAACCCTCCCCACCTAGACACCCAGAAAACCCCAGTGCCTTTATATGACATAGGCCAACTTGACCACAGAGATTTGAGTTTTCCCCTAGGTTTTTGCCCTGTGCTTGCAAGTTGTACCGTAACAATGGACAAAGGACAAAAGTTACCTTCTGATTTACACCGAGAAGCATCATTTTGCGATAGGTGTGTTGGGGGTGCTACAGGAAAAACAGATTTCCCTCATGAAAAATCATAGGGAACAGGAAAGAAAAGGGGCATGTACCAATGGCATATTCAAGATGAGAGTTCAAGGGGCTTAACATCCCCTGTCCATCATTTTCTTTCTTTTTTTCTCTTTTTTTTTTTTTTTTTGAGACCGAGTCTTGCTCTGTCGCCCAGGCTGGAGTGCAGTGGCGCGATCTCGCCTCACCGCAACCTCCGTCTCCCGATTTCAACCGATTCTCCTGCCTCAGCCTCCTGAGTAGCTGGGATTACAGGCATGTGCCACCACGCCTAATTTTGTATTTTTAGTAGAAATGGGGTTTCTCCATGTTGGTCAGGCTGGTCTTGAACTCCTGACCTCAGGTGATCCACCCTCCTCGGCCTCTCAAGGAGGTATTAATAGCCAGGTGGAAGCCTTCATAGAGTCTAGAAAGAGAGAACCAGGGAGGAAGGCCAGGTCCCCAGTGTTCCAGTGTTGATTGAGGGAGAAAACTTGAAAATAGGAGGAACGCATTTTCCCATCTCTTGAGGGAAAGCTCCGTCTGAGAGTCACTCTCAGGCCTTTCCAGGTCCACAGAGCTCTCTCTGCAAGCCTGTTCATTTGCCAGATTTCCCAGAGGTTGCTTAGAAACCAGATCTTGTGAGTATAGTGAGAATGAGTCAAGTCCTAGGGCTCTAACAGATCAGCTGGAAGGAACTGATGAGGTCTAGGAGCCTACAAAACTGACTCGGGCCTCGTTGGCCCCATTAGGACACTTGTTTAACAAGACATCAGCCCACGCCCCTGGCATCTCATTGGCTACAGCACATCATACTGGACCTTCTGTCTCCTCCCAGGTGCCCAGGGACAGTGATCTGGAAGGAAGGGGCTTGAGGCTGTGTTCTTTTTTTTTTTTTTGAGACGCAGTCTCGCTCTGTCGCCCAGGCTGGAGTGCAGTGGCCTGATCTCAGCTCACTGCAAACTCCGCCTCCCGCGTTTACGCCATTCTCCTGCCTCAGCCTCCCTAGTAGCTGGGACTACAGGCGCAGGTTGTAGTAAGCCAAGAATGCGCCATTGCACTCTAGCCTGGGCAACAAGAGTGAAACTCCATCTCAAAAAATAAGAATAAATAAATAAATAAACCCTCCTTATGTTAGGCCAGCAGTTCTCTAACTATGGCCTTATGGGACTCTGGTATAGCCAAAGAGAGGACTCTTCCCAAATTATAGAACAGAAATAAGCCAAAGGACTGGAGTGTTTCAAACACATGCTTGCTTCTTACAAATGTTCTGTAAACCCTCCATGCCTGTGACAAAAGTTAAAAAGAAATACGAGACAAATGTTGACTCTTACTTGGTTTCTGGGACGCCACCCTCTCCTGGTTCTCCTCCTGTCTCCATCTCATTTTGGGGCCACCCACTCTTTCTAAAGCATCTCTTCAATGCTAGTCTTCTTCAGATTCTGTCCCTGTGTCTCTGCCCACCTGCCTCCAACACTCACGAGTGATCTCACCAGTGTCCATGAGCTCAGTGGGCCCCTCCATTCTTTATTTTTTTTTTGAGACCAAGTCTCATTCTGTCACCCACGCTGGAGTGTAGTGGCACAATCTCAGCTCACTGCAACCTCCCCCTTCCAGGTTCAAGCGATTTTCCTGCCTCAGCCTCCTGAGTAGCTGGGATTACAGGTGTGTGCCAACACGCCCACACCTGGCTAATTTTTTGTGTGTTTTTAGTAGAGACGGGGTTTCACAATGCTGGCCAGGTTGGTCTCGAACTCCTGACCTCAGGTCATCCACTCACCTCAGCCTCCCAAAGTGCTGGGATTACAGATGTGAGCCACCGTGCCCGGCTGCCCCCTCTATTCTGACTTCAGCTGAGCTCTTTCTCTCCAGTTCCAGCAGGGTTGCCTCAAAGACATCTGCCTGTGACTGCCCCACAGACCCCCCGTCAAGTTCAGCATACACCAAAAGGAACTGATGACCTACCTCCAGCCCCAAATGTCTTGTGTTCTACTATCTTCTTAGTTGCTGAAGCCAGAAACCAGTATCCTTCTCCCCACACTGCTTTGTTTCCAGAGTTCCCCATGTTACTTGTGCCTCCCACGTGGTTCTCCAATGAGTCCACATCTCTCCATCACTGTTCTGAGGACGGATCATTGCCAGCACCTGCAAGAGAACATCAAGAGACCCCTAACTGCTCCCCTGCCTCTGGCATCTCACCTACAGTCCACTTTCTACATGGCACCCAGGGACTTGCTAAAGTGAACATCTGACCACTTCGTTCCTTTGCTTAAATATTCTCTTTGCCCATTAACCCCAGAAAAAGACCAAACCCCTTAACATGGCTTACAAGATTTGTCAGGATCTGGTCACTGATTATCTTTTGCCAAACTCTTCTCTCCCTACCCCCTTGCAACCTCCACTCCGCCCGAGTTTTTTGCTCCAGCCATTTAAAATGACCTTCACAGGCCAGGCACGGCGGCTCACACCTGTAATCCCAGCACTTTGGGAGGCCTAGGCGGTTGAATCATGAGGTCAGGAGTTTGAGACCAGTCTCACCAATTTGGTGAAAACCCGTCTCTACTAAAAATACAAAACTCAATCGGGCATGGTGGCACATGCCTGTAATTCCAGCTACTTGGGAGGCTGAGGCAGGAGAATCACCTGAACCTGGGAGGCAGAGGTTGCAGTGAGCCTAGGTTGCACCACTGCACTGTAGCCTGGGCAAAAGAGCAAGACTCCATCTCAAATAATAATAATAATAATAATAATAATGATAAAATGACCTTCACTATGGTCCCTCTCGCCCCTGTGCACAGCACCATTCCTCTGTATGAAACATTCTTCCCCACCTTTGGATCCTTCCCATTTCATCTCGGCTACCCTTTCCTCATGACCCAACGTGGGTTGGTGCCTCCTGGATGCTCTCCTTTCATAGCATTGGTATGTTATAATTATTGCGTATCTGTCTCTCTCCTCCACTAGACCCAAAGCAACATGAGGGCAGGGGATATGTCCTTCTTTCCTCTATTGTTTTCCCTGTTCCTAGCACAGTACCCAGGCACATTGTAGATGCTCAATAAATATGTTGAATAATCAATTGGGTCGAATGGATGAATCAACGAACTCCTCTGAGCTCTCACAGCTCCCATACTTGGCCCTATGGAACTACTTCTCCCTTTGTATTATCATTATTCTATATTATAATTATAATTACCTGGTTACTTGCCATTCTCCTTTCTAATCTGGGGGCTCCTTTGGGATGGAAATTGTCTCACTGCTATATTCCCAATATCCAGCACAAAGCCTGTCACATGGTAGGCAATATTTATTGACTGTTGAACATTCATGGAAAATCTATCTAATCGGTTTGACAAAAAAAAAAATTTTTTTTTCTCTCGACATGAGTAATTTGTCTGAGACTTTATACTGGGAACGTATAATAAAGCCAAGTTTTCTACTAGGGAAATTGTTACTAGTTTGGATGACAGATTTAAATATATCAAGATTTCATAGGATCTTTTTGTATATTCCAGTACCACAGGAAACCCCGTCACCTATTGAATACATACTCATCAATAAATAAAGTTAGAAATAAGGGCCGGGTGTGATGGTTCATGCTTGGAATCCCAGCACTTTGGGAAGCCGAGGCGGGTGGATCACCTGAGGACAGGAGTTCGAGCTCAGCCTGGTCAACATGGTGAAACTCCGGGTCTACTAATAATACAAAAAATTAGCCGGGCGTGGTGGCGGGCACCTGTAATTCCAGCTACTTGGGAAGATGAGGCAGGAGAATTGCTTGAATCTGGGAGGCAGAGTTGCAGTGAGCTGAGATCATGACATTGCACTCCAGCCTGGGCGACAGAGTGAGACTCCGTTTCCAAAAAAAAAAAAAGAAAAAAGAAAGAAAGAAGAAGATAGTTTCCATCCTAAGCTATATTGAACCTGAAGATGACTATTATGATGTTGAAATACCCACATTGAAAATCGTCATTCTAAAAGAACTCCTGTTCTGCCACCTTAACTGTTTTAAGAACTGATGCTTGGCCAGGCACAGTGGCTCACGCCTGTAATGTCAGCACTTTAGGAGGCCAAGGCAAGTGGATCACTTGAGGTCAGGAGTTGAGGCCTGGCCAACATAGTGAAACCCCATCTCTACTAAAAATACAAAAATTAGCCGGGCATGGTGGCGGGCACCTGTAATCCCAGCTACTCAGGAAGCTGAGGCAGGAAAATCACTTGAAGCTGGGAGGTGGAGGTTGCAGTGAGCCAAAATCGTGCCACTGCACTCCAGCCTGGGCGACAGAGTGAGACTCTGTCTTGAAAACATACCACAAATCAGTGGATTATAATTTTCCTTATAATAATTACTATCTGATCTTTGCAATACAAACAAGATTGTTTTCAGGAAATGCACTGGCATTACCAGCAATAAATTTTATAACTGAAGTGTATTCGTCAGGATGCTTTAGGCTGCAAAGAACAGACTATTGGCAGGGCACAGTGGCTCAAGCCTGTAGTCCCAACACTTTGGGAGGCCGAGATGGGCGGATCACGAGGTCAGGAGATCAAGACCATCCTGGCTAACATGGTGAAACCCCGTCTCTCCTAAAAAAACATATAAAAAAAACTAGCCAGGCGAGGTGGCGGGCGCCTGTAGTCCCAGCTACTGGGGAGGCTGAGGCAGGAGAATGGCATAAACCCGGGAGGCGGAGCTTGCAGTGAGCTGAAATCCGGCCACTGCACTCCAGCCTGGGTGACCGAGCGAGACTCTATCTCAAAAAAAAAAAAAAGAACAGACTATTTAACTAAAGATAACTTACACAACGAGGAGTTTATAATTTCACAAAGCAAGAAGTCTAGAGGTAAACACTCCAGAATTCATCAGCTCCATAACTTAGGAGTGTGGACCTTTGGGAGGCCGAGGCGGGTGGATCACAAGGTCAGGAGATCGAGACCATCCTGGCTAACACGGTGA